GCGTCTCGGCCTGGGCTGGCCTGGGGCGGAGCGGGGCGAGCGCGCTGGACGCCCGCTCCCAGGACAGGTATTGGGCAGGGTGGGGAGAGAAAGGCAGGACGGGCAGCCGCGCAAAAGGCGAGAGGATGACGGGGCCGAGCGCTCGCGCTGGCTAGTAAAGGGAGGCGATTCCCTGGGGTGCGAATCGGAGATGCCGCGGTAGGGAGGAGGCTTAAAGGGCGCTCGGCGGGTGGGGACTGCTCCCGGCCCTGCTCCTGGAAAGTAAAGTTCTTCCTGCCGCCCCCAAGTCTGGCTTGCTTTCAAGTTTCTTGGCATTGGTGTCATCCTTCTCCTGACCTGGGGTATATGTTCAGTTTTTCCTGTACCCACCCTATATCCCCCGCTTCTGATTCATGGGACAGAATTGTGTGCGGTAGGTGCTGTGTACCTGGGGCTGCCCAGATCGTCACCCTTTGACTACATGTTCGCGTAAGTTCCCGCATTTCCTTCCGCTTTTTCCCCTGCTTCAGGTGTGGCGGCAAGATAACGGGGAACGTGTGAGTGCTGGGTTTTGATTTGTCTTGTGGTGAAGTTTAGCAGGTTTGTCCTCCAACTAGGTTGTCAAAATAAAGACTTTGCCTTTGAGGAGGGCGCGTCGTGCTCCTTCCTGAGTGGTTGGCACACACAGCCGCGCTGCGCACACTTTCTCCACGGAGCTTGGCTGGAAGGCGCAAAGGCTTCCCTGGGACTGGTCAGATCTCAGAGGTTTGGACGGGCTTGTACCTCGAAGCAATTAAAGCTTCTGTTCCATCAGATAAGTGCTGCGTCGTCTCTTGCGAGTGAAATCTGAGGGCTCACAATGTTAATGGGCTCACTTCTTTCCCTTGATAATATGGTTTTGTTTACTGAGTGTAGAGAGACGGGAAATAAAAGTGCAATTGGCACAGGAAATGAAGAGTAGAAGGGTTACAAAGACAGGCTTTACACTGACAAACTTTGGAACTTCCTCGAACATTTCTTTTAATGTGTTCCTCTTTGGGGAGGTAGGAAAGTAACAAATTAAATAAATGTTATTTACACGCAGCAGTAATGAAAGAGGGTGGTTTCCTAAAACTGTGTGAATGAAGAGTCTATTGGATTATTCAAGTGCCCTTGAGATGATCTATTATAGTCTGTGAGTTATGGTGACCTGAGGTTTTATTATTGTTTTACTGATCCACTTGTCAGGAAGAGCGATTGAGCTCTTGCCTAAAATTCCACTCTGAGGAAGTCTGGAAAATAGGAGCCATCACAGCCTAGGGAGCTGGTTCCTTACAGGGATGTGAACTTGTGAATAAACAAAGCCACACCAAAAGTGTAGTCTACTGGCGCAGTTGAATTCAAGCCAAGATGGGGAGAGTTGGCTCAGTGGGGGGAGGGGAGTAGATACCTAGGAATGAGCACAACGCTACAGGGGTCTGAGATTCCTGCACTGCTGGTGTTCTTGCATTTGACTGAGAAACTGAATTCTGTGTTGGAAATACCACTTTCAACTTGATGTTGCAACTACAGTTTTGTCCTCTAGCCAATCAGATGACAGGTCCTAAGTAGTTTTTAAAAGGAGGAATAATTAAGACTCTTCACTAGCACCCTGACAGGAAGTGACAAAGGTCTTCAGACCTAGTTCAAGCTTCAAATGTAGATGCATTTCTTCACTGCCATCCCCTTTGTCTATGAAAGCAAAAGTATCAGCAAGTCAGATGCAACTGAGTTCACAGTGTCCCCCTTTATCCAGCCCTGGCTAGACTTTAATAGCTAATTTTTACCAGCTTAATGTCACAGTTCTCACACGACTATCTCAAAACTCTAAGGCCCTCCCTCAAAAGTATTCTATTCGGCTCCCAGGCCCAGAAGCCCCAGAGGCTTGAGAAGGAAGGTGGCCTTGTAAACCCACCTGAAGAAGTCCAGCTGGCTGCAGCCCAGGATATAGAACAGAAAATGCAACCTGATCATCCGGCAAGTCTGACCAAAAACTGTCAAGTTAAGGTCCTCTTCTCAATGATTTCTGGAAAAAACAGGCAGCCTAGGTGTCTGAGCCAACCTTCATGAAAACAAAGACCAGGTTTTTACTGTTAAGCATTTAGGGGAAAGTTCCTCCTTCCTGTCACAATTAGGACTTTTGATGTATCTCTGGGCTGTCCACACTGTTTCCCTGAAGCACAAAATTTGAAGATTGGGCTTTTGCTGAGAGAAGAAAGTATAAAAGAGAAAGACTTTTAAAATGTGTCTTGTTGTTTTCTATGGGTGAGAGTGGGTGTGTACCATAGTTGTTCAGACCCAACTGCAGTTCTCTGATCATTGCAGGCAGAGAACTCCATTTTTGTTCTTCCCCTCTGGACTCCTTTGGGATCTTAGAGTTGCTATCTCCATTCCCGGGAACATTTCAAGACACAGGTTGGAAATCAGGACTCTTACCATCGCAGACTCATAACATTTGCCAAGGACCTGCTGTGTAAGAACATTTTGTTAGGAGAGGAAAAAAGAGTTTTAGACTGGGAAGAATGATATTCTCAGACCAAAGGGAAAAGGGATTAATTTCTGGCACAGCTCTTAACCGTGCTATAAATCTACTTCAGAAAAATCAGAATCTATAATTTTCTGAGAAGCGACTGGGAGATATTATTGGGAGAAGTGTGTGTGTAGAAATATGTTAAAATAGGGTATTTTTAGTAACCTTAAAGTTTGCCTTTGAGATGTTCCAGGCTGTGGGAGAAATGTCTTACTAATTTTATTGCTTGTTCAACAACCATGGATTCCCAAGGGTCACTTGCCCTGCTGGATCCCAGCACTGTGAGCTCTCAGCAGGCTGTAACAGCAGAGAGACCTGATTGCCAGGTTGTGTTTGATGTAGGAATGCTTTGAAATCTTTCCCATCTTGCTCACAACAGCAGCCATCTCCTGTCTACCCCACCCCCACATGCCATGACTACCTTTCTCTCCCTTTTGAACAACAAGCTGTCTTTCTGCAGACAGAAGTGATGAAGGGTGGCAGTCTGGTGTTCTGTGTGTTCACAGTTGTTCCTAAGACCTCTTACAACCTATCTTCATGACCCCACCCTGTTAACCCCTTGAAGATGTTTGAGCACATGTAAATTGTTGGCTTAAGCCCCAAAGCATAAAAAGGTTCTTACTGAGCTGGGCAGGAAAGAGGGGGGATCTTCTAAGCAAGATTGGCAGTGCTCTTCAGCACCCATCCTTCATTCCAGGATGAAATGAAAGGACAGGAATTCTAAACTGGACACCCCCTGAGGAAAGCAGGAAATCAGAGATTTATACCATACCAAGAGCTTTGTGAAAGAAAAGTTCATGGGGCACACCCATACCTGGCACACAGTAGGCATTCCATGAAGGTCAGTTGGAGAAGAATAAACAGTGGCCAGAATGGTGTTCAACATAACTAATATTGGCTGAAGTTTCCTTAGACTATTGGCTTCCAAAACCACTCCAGATGGGTAGGGATCACCACAGACAGAAGCACAATTCCTCAGCCCACCCCCAGAGCTCTGACTCAGATGTCTGTATTTCTAGTGAGACTCTTAAGTGACTCTAAAACAAGGTTCCTTAGAGCCACACTTTGAGAATTTCTGCTTTAGCAACTAGTGGGGGAGGAGGAAAGGTAGCATGGGGAGAAGGGTGATTCCCTGAGAGGGACTCTGGGACCAGCTAGATGAGAGGTCATGATTAGATGACGTAGCAATATCTCAGAAAAGTATCCAGACGCCTGTTAGGTAGTAGGGGCAGAGAATTAAGTCTAATTGGGCCAAAGTTCCAGAAAATAGCCATAAGAAGTAGTCAGTGTTTCCCAAGTTTTGCAGACAAAGTAGTGCTTTGCAAGTGAGAAGCAGAAGTTAGCTGTGAGAACTTGACTTTAAGGATGCCAGTGAGGTGGGAAAGAAGAGACTTGTCTTTCAGTCTCTTCAAGAAATTTTAGAAAGGTTCTGAGACAATGGGAAGAAAAGAGGAATAGCAATGGAAAGGAGGAGCCAACTTTCATTTCCTTCTACTTCTTCCAGATTGTCTGGAATGAGCTTTTGAGCCCCAGGGATCATGAGAGGGTGAAATGAAATGTCTCTTAACCTGAACTGAACTCTTCCGCTCGGTAAAGGCTAACCTTTCACAGCAAAGATGTCAATGTTAGAAAGTCCCTTACGGATAAATGACATCAAACCCCACATTTAGAGACAGACTCAATTTACTCAGAAAAGACAAAGCCATTCTGCAAAAAAATAAGGGAACCGACTTGAGCCTTCTGACTGTCCATGTGTATCGCCTATCCACAGTCTGCAGAGAGGGAGGAGTGGGGCACCTTTCTCTGCACTGTGGTGGCTTCAGTGCTCCTTCAGCTGAGCAGTATTCAAGAAGTAGATCCCTCATTCCTGGGAGACCACAGAGCCACTGTGGGTGACCAGAAGGCCTACTCTCCTCTCTTTGGCTTTTGATTTTTTGATGGGGGGGGGGATAAACTTGTGTTTCAGATTTCTGAGGTCCCACCTTGAGCTACTTCTGCCGGAAAGGCAGAGATAGACTTGCTACCCATTCCTTACCCCTACCCCCACCCCCATCCCTACCACCAATCAAGGATAAAAGAGCCTCTCATTTCCTGCTCAGCTTGAACAGCATCAGGGCCCTGGAGAGACAAAACAAAAGGTATCCTTAGATTAATGTCATTGGATACAGCAAGTACAAATAAGGACATTTGTGAATATAGCAAGGTACACCCAGGTCAGTTACAGTTGTACTGTTTTTTTTTTTTTTTGCTCCTTTATTGTTTACTTAGGTAATATGTTTAAATTTACATGATTCAAAGACTACAAAAGGTATATTCAATGAAAATCTTTTACTCAGACACCTGTTCTTCTTCACATAGGCAACCATTTTATTGATTCTTAAATATCTTTCCAGTGGTACTTTACATATACCATTTATATAATGGTTATATATACCATTATTTATGTATTTACACATATGTCCACACATATTTGTGCACAAACATCAGCATATAAGAGATTCTTTTGCACCATGCTTCCCCATATTGTATCTTAAAGACCATTTCATATAAACACATACCAAACTTTCTGGTTTATTTTTACAGCCGCATGCTGTTCGATTATATATATCTACAAGGATTTATTTAGCTAACCCCATATTAATGGGTATTTGGTTTGTTTTCAGTCTTTTGCTATTACAAATGTATGTTCTAGTCTTCACCTACTAAACATGAAATTTCCTAAAAGCATGTACCCTGGGAGTATGCTATAGAAGTGAATCAGTTCACACTTCTACCAGTAACAAGCGAGAATCCCTGCTTCCTAATACCCTTTCCAAGTCAATGGAAGATTACAGGTTTTGATTTGACAATCTGATAAGTGGAAAATGATGCCTTTTACTTGGTCTTAAAACAACTCCAGAATGCCATCTTCCTTATTTAGTCTTTTCATAATTCTGTTTTATAAACAGTAATACTAGCACAGAAAAAATAAACATCTTGGGGTAGCCACACCCATTATAAATGGCTAAGATCAGATGTTCAACACTCCTGCTTATTCTGTAAGGTACCACACAGAAGGCTAAGGAGGTTCAGAGATTCCCTGACAGACATGATAGAAAAAAGCACAGACACTTTCTGACATCTGCTAAGAGATCTCCTCTTTAGTGGTCTGATACCAAGACCATATTTCTGCATGTGTCCCCTAGAGAGTATCCTCCGGAAGCAGGGGGGTTTTGATTAGCAATCTGACCTGACTAGTCCCAAGCATTAGCTTAGATTCAATGTCAGGGAAGCAATAGGGTGTTGTTTTTTTTAATTCCCCTGAGACTTATTTCTCATTGGCCACCCATGATCTAAGTATTGATCTGCATGGTGTGGATAAGAGGATGTTTTCCCTAGCTTTTAGCTTTCTATAGGACAATCAAATCTCTGGTACTTGGTGAAGATAATGCCTAACACATACACACACACACACACACACACACATACACACAGCTCTAACCTAGAGGTAGATGTCTTTATTGACTGTTTCATTGATGATGAAACTGAAGGCCAGAAAGATTAAGTGAGTTGCTTAGGGTCACACAATTTATCAGTAGCAAAGCAGAAAACACAATGTAAACCTAAAACTGAACTCATTATATTCACCTGCAAAGTCTTCTGTTCCTGCTTCTCTAGTCATTTTGTTGAATGACCTGACTACCCACTCAGGCCTTCAAAATAGAAACCTAGGGATTACTACCCACAACTCCCCGTCCATTCACCCAGTTAATCACCAAGTCCTGTGCTTTTACTTCCCAAATACATCCCCTTTTCATCTTTACTACATTATTCCCCCTCTGTCCTGAATTATTACAGCAATCTCTTTCTGAGGTTCTTGCCATCTCTCCCTTTTTACCCAATCACACACTGTACCCCAAAGCCTCAACTTTCCAAATGGGTACCCTCACTTCCCAGCTTAAGGTGGTTCCCCATTACCTACATATTAAGTCCACACTCCTTTGCGTGGAACCTATAACCCGGCTATGTAGATCCAGCCCAGCCGAGGCCCCACTCCAGGCTGTTCTTGTTGTGGGTTCAAATGTTGCTTTTATGCCTCTCCGCTTTTACATCTGCTGCTCTCTACCTGGTATGTCCCTCCTTCATGAACCTAAAGAAAACTCCCATACTTCAGAGACCCAAATCCACCTCCTGTGAGAAGTCTCATTCTCCTCACTACTGGAACATGTGGTCACACTGCTGTTACAATGTCTCCCACACTGTTTTACAATTCCTTTGTGTCTCCACTTGATTGAAGGACACAAGCCATTTGTGACTCATTTTGGTACTCCAAACCCCAGCACTGTACACTTAGGATCTGGTCAGTAGGTATTGGGACCAGTATTTTAATTGTTCAGATACTGAGTTCTAGATACTGGAAAGCTTAATGCTTCAGCTTATTATCTATCTCAACAAAATGACAGAACATGTCTCCAAAACAAATTGATTTCTACCCAAGTGCATGATGAGAGAGAAGGCTCAGGGGAGGGAGAAGAAAGCTGGGACTTTCAGTGGCAGGGAAGTGGGGGTTACTTTCCTGTGTGTTGGCAAAACATTTAACTACCTTCAAGAACTTCTCAGCTGATGACACTGAAAAACAGTAAAAGGAAGAGAAATCCAGAAATTTAGAATTTACAAGGAGGATAAATAATGTACCTCTGGACAGGGGGATATAAAAATGCTTCCCTTCCCAGTCACCCAAACCCTCCTGCCATAAACAGCTCTGGCACCACCACCCCCAACTTTTAGTCTGTCCCCTTTATAATGTTTTTAAGATGAATCCTCTAGAAGCTGATACAAAAATACTCACCCACGGGCCCTCCCTGGTGGCGCAGCGGGTTAGAGCACAGCACTGAGAATCTGAAGCCACTTCCGCATGAGTTCGATTCCCCCCTGCCCCGGAGGAGACCACATGGCGAGCCAGACCTCTCCTGGCCTGCCCGCTGCTCCCCTCAGCAGTGTACTTCGTCAATCTGCCTGTTCTGCTCCCCACTCTGTCTCTGGTGAAGCCTCTCACCGTCCCTGAGCCTCTGGCCTGTACCCCAGTTCTGTATGAATAGATAAATGAATCTTTAAAAAAAAAAAATACTCACCCACGGTGAGTATTTATACCAGTCAAGAGAGAAGAGGCATATCATTGTGATTAGTGTTTTGAGTACATTTTTATTGTTATTTAAAATAACATTCGAGTTTAATTCCAAGTTCAGCAGCTGTCTTATTCTGCTTCCTCCCATGCAAAGTACCCTTGCAGGTAAAGAGAATCAAACTAGTTCCAACTCTTCCCTGAATTTGAAGCTCTTAAATAAAATTTTTAATGCATTTTTTTTAAGTCTTAAATAAACACGCGTCTGCCCGAACAGCTGACCCATTGGATCTTTCTGCTCTTGCCTTCAGAGATGGATTTGTCCCTTTCTGGAGTAGAGCAGAGTTTTAAAGGTGTCACTTGAGAGGATGGGGGCGCGGTTGTGGGTTGGCGGTAAGGGAAACAGAATCACCGTGGGTGAGGAGGCGGAGTACTTCGAGGGCCTAGGCACCCAGACCCGGCGAGGACCGTGATGTCGGGCAGCCGCACAGGCCCATGGGTGAGGAGAAGACTCACGGATGCTTCCCTGGGGCCTCGCACAGCTGAGCCTAGGCCTGGCTGGCTGTTCGGTTGGGCGGGCAGGGCATCGGGTCGCGCCCTCGGTTGGCGCTCACCCGGCGCGCTCGCGTCTCCTCGCTTGCGGTTTCTGGTCGGATCCCAGCTGGCCCAGACTCGCTCCAGAGGAGGAGGAACCGCTGTCGAGCGAGAAGTGCACATCGGCTGATTGATGAACTCTTAATAGGACTAATCGCTCCGCTTCCCCACCCTAAACACGGTGCAGTCCTCGCCCTAGCCCCTTCTCCAGCGAGAGTGGACTCGGCCGCCAGCCGGCGGGGTGATCAACTCACCGTTTGTCTTCCGAAGGGACTCCGGGTGGAGACGGAACGCGCCCACCCCAGTGCAGCCCTCGAGCTCTGAACACCACGCCCTGCCGCGGGCCAGGTGGCCTTCGTGCAGCGCCACCGCCGACCTCGGGAGAGGAGGAGGTGGAGGCTATCATTCCCCGCCGGGGAGGGAGTGGTCAGACTGGGGTCCACACCACCCCCTCCTCAGTTTCCAGTTCCGGGGAAGGCTGCAGGCTTCCTTTGTGTGTGTTCTGCCTAAGGTGGGCATGGCCATGGCATCGTGGCAGCCCCGAGGAGCTTCTCCACCGCCTGGCACTCACCGGGCCCGGCTTGGAAGCGCTTGGCCCTTGCAGAATGGGCGAGGAGCGATGTGACAATAGTGGGCAGCACTTTGAACAATAGAGCAATCCACAAGGCCTTCTCCCACATTCCTTGTAAATGAGGGATGTTGTTCCAGCCTGAAAGGCCCCAGCCCCACAGGTCCTCCAGGCCTAGTGTTAGGTTCCCCAGTAAAAACCATTCTGTACCAGGGTGCTCCTGAATAGTGATTTAAACTAAGATCTCCGGCTCTTCTAATGTTAACCTCCATGTTCATGGTTCTCCAGATATTATGCCTCCAAAACAACAATCCAGAAAGGAAACAGGCAACATCTTTTGCCACAAACTCTAAGAGGGCTTAAGTCGGCTCTCTCACCTTGCACATCTCCTGGGAACCCTCCTTTCATCTGCTACTTCTGATACTACAGTTTCTGACAGAAGGATGAAAGCAATGCTAAGAACTCCCAGATGAAGACCTTCCTAGATGGGGGACATCCATCTACCTTGTCTCTTCCTTCATATGTGGAAATCTTTCCTTCGCCATGCTTCATGCTGGACCCAGATGGAGAGTGAGAATGGGTCTTTGGTGGATTGTATTTGTACACTTCCAACTTACCAAGGTGGGTATGCAACCCGCTGGAAGTATTAAGTCATGGGCATTAAACCAAGTATAGAAATCTAGTTAGGATGAACCGTGGGCCCCAAAGGATATTTGCAGGTGGAGTAGAAGATAAGGAAGCAATGAGAACAAAGAGTTCATCTTCTGTGATGTTTTCCACCATCAGGTAGTGAGTGCTCAGTCTTTCTTTGCCACCCAGGCATTCTGCAAGAGACATCTAAATGAGTCAGTTCTCAGAGGTGGTGAGGGTATGGCTGTTGACAGGATGCCATTTCCCCATGCCCAGCCCAGAATGTTTAGGTATAGCCTGTTCACTGGGGTCCTAGCTGTACCTTCTCTGGGAAGTTGCAGTACCCTGCAGTGATCATGCTATAAGCCTGTGGGAACTGGGCTTTCTGCCTCTCTTTCTCCATTTAATATTCACAAACTTCTGCTCATCCTATTCTTTTCTTACAGTTTCTGACAGAAGGATGAAAGCAATGCTAAGAACTCCCAAATGAAGACCTTCCTAGATTTGTAACTGGGATTAACCAAGTCTTGACCTTAGAAAGATGTTTCTGTTCTGAAGATAAAGTAAAAATATACCTTTGGCTATTTCTCAAATACTGAAGGTATAAAGAAGCTTCTGGCTCCCCTACGTCTAGCAGAGAAACTTTCTGATTAGAATGTTGGATGGTAACTTCTTTGTTATTCAAGCATATACCCACACACATCCTCTTCCCCCTCCCTAATGAAAAACCTCAACAGATGGAGAGCCTAGGCTCCCCAGCCTGCTGGCTGAGAAGATGCACTTCACTCAAGGGTCAGTCAGCTGGTACAGACTGGGGGAGGAAGAAGGAAGAGCAGCTAGTATAGGTAATTGCTATCTTTTAATACTCCTTACAGGCAGAAATTAGAAAAATCCTGTTCAGCAAAGTTAGCAACCTCTGGGGCCTGTGAAACCAATTTGGCTGAGGTGTCTCTGACAGGGTCTAGGCTTGGGCTGCATCCAGGAGAAAGCGCCCACCCTATATTCTCTCCCTCTCTCTCATTTGAAAGCCTATACAAAGAAATGGTACAAGTGGATGGTTAACTTAATGATTCCATCAGGGGTGGATTTTTCTCTGTCAGGTCCCTGGATGAAGCTGAGGTCTGAAAGCCAGGAGACAGAATATGTACTTAATCGCCCTTTCTTACTGTCTTTCCAGGGGCCGGAAAGGCCTTTCCCCTGGAGTCGCAGTCTCCAGTGCCCACCCCATGGCTCTGTTGCTCTGTTGGGCCGTGTCTTCTCACTCCTACCCCTGCCTGGGTCCTGAGTGTGTCAAAGTAACATAAACAAGCCTCTTCTCTGCCTTAATTTTGCCCCGCTCTGTCTCCTATTTCGTGGCGGGCTGCCTCACCTCTATCCTCCTTTAATTTGCATTTAATTGCCCAGACCGAACAACCCGGGGCTCCCAAAGGGATGTTACCCTCACCGAGACCCTTTTCTTACTGATGCCCACTCTCTCAAAGCAGTCCTTCGGAGGGGTCGGGGGAGGGGGGAGGGTGTAGCTTAGTTTAGGCCCCAAAGCCATTTCTTCCTCTCGGCCAAACCAAGTACACCTCCCAGAAATGATCACAGGAGTCAGACGGGCCCTTCCCTACCTCCCGGCGTCATACCAGCCCTGCCTCTGTGTGGCCTCCCCCGCCGCCGCCGGGCGGGTGGTGAAGCCGCTCACACAAAGGCGCAGCCGCTCCCGGAAGACCCGGCAGTTCCGGCGCCCTCAACCCAGCACCCAATGGCGGGGTCCAGTTGCCTCGAGGGCTGTGTACGCCCTCCTCTGCCCCTAGTTCGCAGTCCTGGGAAAAAGTCACGGGGCTAGGTCGGGTGAGGGTTTCATTCCCCTGCACCTCCTCCCTTCCCGCAGCAGATCCTCCCCGAGAGGTGAGGCCTGGACCCAGGACGCCATTGCCGGCCAGGACTCCCCTCCCCCAACTCTCTTCTAGCTCAGCGTCTCTAAGACCCGGGAGGGAGGAGGCGCCTACGCTGATAGAGCAGCTATTGTGACCTTCCCTTGCCGAGCGGGAACCCAGCCGAGTGTGTACCGCTGGCGGTGGCGGGGGAGGGGGGAGAGGAAGCGCCTGTGTGTGCAAACGTCGGGGTGCGGAGGGGGTGGCACTGGGAAATAAAGGTTTGCAACCTCGGGCGGTCGGGAGCTTCAGAGGGCGTTTGCTTGTGTTTAGACTCCGGTGCTTCCTAACACTAATCGCAGGCTCAAATGGAGAATGTCTGGTGAAGGCCAAAGCGGCTGGTTTATAATTTATGAAGTTTTAAATGGCTGTGCCGCGGGCCCCCACTCTCGCCCTGCACGCTGGCCGCTGGGAACGCGCGTTCTCCAGACACACCACCGCCCCCACTCGCACCAGCAGCGGGCGAGTGTGCCCATCACTTGACGTTCAAGCCAACGGCAGGGGCCCATCCGAGCCAATCTGCTCGGGGAATATTTCTCCAGAAGCTAGAGAAAGCCACAATTTTGTCCCAAGCGAACTGCCCAGTCCACTAGAGAAGGGCGAACTGCCCAGTCCACTAGAGGAGGGCGCCTCTGGACGGCTGCGGCTGCCTGAATGGGAGGCCCCCGTAACCCGCACTTCTGTGGAGCTTGAGTGCGAGAGGAAGCTGATGTCAGCCGGGCAAGACACCGTTTAAAGTCTAATCCATGAAACCCTAAGCCGCAGATGACACTTGGGGCCTTGCAGACACCCGCAGACTCAGCAGATACTCCTGCGGTAACACACCGCGCTGGAAAACGCTGGGAGCCATGATGCATTATGTATTTTTATTATTATTTATGGTAGGAAGAGCAGATGAGGAAAACCGGGCTGAATCTAAACAGCCTGACAATTCATCTATTTAATATTAAACCAGTTAAGGAAGGTTGTAATCCCTGCAAGGCAGCACGGCCTTCTTTGATTTCTGTAGGAGCTTAAAAAATAATTTCTTACAGGACAATTAGAAATTCTGCCAATGGATGCAAATCTCATAGAAAACAATTTTAAGCTTTGAAAGTGGGTAAAATATTCTTCAGTTAAAGTTATTTATTCTGTTGATACACTTCTACAACATGTATACTTTAAACCTGCTTGGCTAAAGTGAAATTTAGCAAAAGGACATTCCCTTCCCACTCCCAATCTAACATGCCATTTTAAAAACAGCACAAAGGAACAAGGAAACTAAATATTTTGAGCCATTATTTAGCGAAACACAAACATCCCAATAGAAACGATTGTTGTTTCACCAGAAGATTAGAAGTTAAATTATTTCCACACAATAGAAATTTCACCTTGTGTCACCAGGGATGTAGCAGGAGTTGCATTATTTGTCAAATCAAATAGAGATGCGTGGGCCGACTTTGCTGAAATACAAAAGAATGAAGCTTATCTGAAGGCGTTTTCAAGTACCTCCTCCCAGAGCAGTAGGTGTAAGTTGTCCACCCCTAGCTAAAAACAGGCTATATTTACAAAATGGTTATAAATCTTTGAAGACATTTTTGCCCATTTTGCACAAAGAAACAGTAAACAAGGTGTGTTTATATTTGTTATGTTCCACTAATGAAACTTTTATTACTACACATCATGGGGAATGTTTGTTTTCTTTAGAAATTAACCACCGATCACCATAAAAGGGAAAGTTGTGACAAGCATTTCCTAGAGGGGGGTGGAGGGAACCTAGGTGCTTTCTCCAAATGATCATTTTTTCCCTGCACCCTGGCTTTTTCATAGCTCCACTTGTTTTTCTTTGATTGTCAGTATTCGTTCAAAGCTTATATTTTATTACTTAATGCAGAAAAGTGAGTTCTGGGCTCGCCATGTAAATACAATTTTTTTTAAAGTTGATTTGTGTCTAGAAAGAGGGCAGTAGAAACAAGAAAGCAGGAGCCACTAAAAGCCCCATTCAAATCATCAAGCCCAGAACATTTCTAGGTTTGTATCCTCAGATCCACCTCTCCCCCCCCCCACACACACACAATGTCAATAGCTGGGTTGTAAACCAGGTATCCCCAGAACCGACTCCTTGTGTACTCCATTCCAAAGAAATGATATCTGTATATTTTAAAGAGCTTACTTAGGGACCTTCCACGGAATTGTGTGCAAAGGGCAGAGTCATCTAATCGCAAGTGTGATTAACACAGATACACTTCCGGCTGAGAAATTTTTTTTATTCTAAATATTTGTTCAAATAGTACCAGACAATTTGAAATCAATAAACTGTGTCGAGTGGCAAGGGCTGCGGCTGTTGAGAAATGAGTAACGGTGTCGTGCCACACCACGGGGCCGCCTGACTCTACCCATGAAGAACAATTTGCGGTCTTAATCCTTTACATCAACTACAAACACCAGCCACGGTTACAACTGTTCAAAACTACTCTCTCAACTAATTCAGACCAAGGGGACTAAAGAGGTGAAATGTGGCCCCCCGCGGCCTGGGAGCGCGTTCCTAAGCTCGGCTGGAGAATTCTACAAATATACACATAAATACATTAAGACGAGGATAAATAATCAGGGAAACGAAATGACTCGCTTCAAATAATAAATACAGATCGTTGAGTCCGATGCAATCCTTACGGGATGGGAAGGAGCATATAAATTAAGGTCTCCGCAACTAAGCTAGACCGGGGCCAGGCCCGGGACTCTCCGGCTGTGGCGCGCCGCCGGTGTATCTCAGACTTACCTTCGGGACACCATTACCAGATTAGAGTCCCTCGGTCCGCTGTATATGGCACTGTCAGGTTTACAGAGTCGGATCTTTGCGGCTGATTTTTGGCGAGTCACCCAAAGGACAGCGCGCCTGGAGGGGAGAGGCCCAGTCGCCTGCGCCTGGGCCGCTCTTGGCCAGAGGCCCGGGAGGCGGCGACGGGGCCAGAGGGGGTGGGGGGGTGTCACTGAGCTGCCCCGCCCGCCACCCCGCCACCAAAGCAAAAGAGGTAATTTCGCCGCGAGTTCTGGCCGATGGCGGCTGCTACAGGTGCGTCAGTTTGGGGGCCTCGGGTAGGCGTCCCTGAGAGGAGTGGTGGGCCGAGAGATCTGTGTAGGTAGGATGAGGGTCGCAGGGTCCATGGTGGTGATTGCCGGGAATCTGTGCCGCGCAACTGTAGTCCACGCTGGCCGAAGACGGGTGCGAGAGGTGGCCCAGGTTGAAAACAGGCCCGGACGCGGGTGCCATGGAGTCGACGAAGTTGCTCCCCACGTATACCGGACTGCCCTGCAGATTGGCGCTGGGAAAGCCGCCGCCGTTGCTCGCCATGGGGTGGGGCTCAAACTCGGGCGCCGCGTAGCGCTTCTGCTGCGGTAGGCAGCTGCTGAGCGGCGCCGTGTAGGCGGCCAGGCCGTACATGTTGGGCTGAGATTTGGCGAAGGCGGGCGGCGAAGGCGCATCGTAGGCCAGGCCGGGCACCGGCTGCAGCTGGCCCGAGTAGGCCACGTGGCCCGCGGCGCCTCCGAGCGGCGGGCTGCGCTCGGGGGACTGACCGGCGGGCGAGTGCAGGATGCCTTTGGCCTTCTGGTCCTTCTTGTACTTCATGCGCCGGTTCTGGAACCAGATCTTGATCTGGCGCTCGGTGAGGTTCAGCAAGTTGGCCATCTCCACCCGGCGCGGCCGACACAAGTAGCGGTTAAAGTGGAATTCTTTCTCCAACTCCACCAGCTGTGCGCTCGTGTAAGCCGTGCGCACCCGTTTGGACGCGGGGCCTGGTGGGCTCTTGTCCTCGCAGCTCTCTCCTGGGCAAAGAGGGAGAAAGAGGGAACGCTGAGAGGGAGAAGTGGGGACACGCAGGCCAAGGAGGGGTGCTTCCCGGAGTCCTCTTCCGCCACTCCTGCCCGCACCTTAATCCAGACTGGGCTGGGGGAGGGGCATTTGTGAGGTGAGACTCCGACCGGGAAATCACAGGTCCCAGGCCTACCTATCAGTGGCACCTGAAACCCTCATCTGCCTTCTGAGGTCCGACTCACTCTGCCCGCCCTCTCCCCTCCAGCCTAGTCCATCATCCCGTCCCAACGGCCATGGAGGAGTTTAATGAGAGACTAGTAGCAGCTGTTAAGGCCTCCCTCCAGATTTCTTAAACACTCCTCCCAGCCTCTGCTGCTGGGGTGGAGGCAGCCCCAGCCTGCCTTGCTCAGGGGCTGGCTCCAGAGCAAAGTACCTCAGGAAGTGTATGGTGAGGGTCCAGATCTTGGCACCTCACTCCAGTCCAGCTGTACCTAAGGATTCTGCACCCAAATGCAAGTAAACAATAACCCATAAAAATAATGCCCCCAGATTGTTAGGGGGCCCAAGCCAGACTGGGGACATTTTGAGCACTGCTGTGCTAGGAGCAGCAGTCTCCACACTGGCTTCCACCACCCCTGCCATCTCTCAGCAGCTTGTCCACTCCCTCCCTGGAAAGACAAATGGATTTCTCCTGGGAGGGCGGGCCTGGGCCTGCAGCTGAGGAAGGAGGGGCAGGAGAAGCTTACAGGCTGGGGGACTTTCCCCCAGGAGCTGCAGCCCTGAAGAGGAAGGGGCAGTTAGCTATATCCTAAGCCTCAAACTATCCCTGGACCTGGAATAAGTTCATCCACCTAAAGATAAAAACCCATCAAAGAACTAAAGGGCAGAAAATTTTAAAAACCAGGCAGGCTAAACAGAGAGAGGCAGCAAGCTTCATAGCTCCTACTCCTGCCCATATGGTATTTGTATTGGTCCACACACCCTGAAGGGACCTATAGAAGATCTTCTCAACACTAGGCACTCCTCCAGGGAGAGAAACCTACAGTTGCTTTCCTTGAGGAGCACTTCCTCTTGCCCTAGGACATGTTCCTCCCCATACGGATTTGCTGGGGTGGGTAGATTTGGGCTGAAGTGAACCATAGAGTCCCACAGCCATGCCGTGCAGACCCTGGATGGATTCAAATGGACTGTTGTATTTTGTGATCTTGGGCAAGTCACTTATCATCTCTAACAGTTTCCTTAACTGTAAAATGGGGATGTTATCACATACCTACCTCAAAGGGATCTTAAGAAAATTAGATAATGCAGGCAGCATTTAGCTTGGTTCTTAACATACCCCTCCACAGACTTTAGTGCTTCTGCACTCAAGGGCATGGGATTCATGTGTTATGGGTTATATAATCATGTATGTAGCTTCACATTTTGAAGAGCTGCTGTGTGGAAGAAGGTGCTGAGTTGATGACCAGCCACCCAGGAAAGCAGATATTAGCTCAGTATAAGGAAGAGCTATATACTGACCTAATGCTCCTTATTAATATAAAGAAGAACTATTTACTAATAACTATGAGACTTGTCTGGCAATCATACCAGCAACCTTGAGTGAAAGTGAGCATCCTGTTACTGGAAGGGTGTGACCCCAGTTAGGGATACTAATCAGAAAGGATATAGGAGCTTAGATATCTGGCCTCTAAAATTGCACATCTAGCCCCAAATTGCGTGCTTCTAGGTGAGCTGGTTACTTAGGTCAATCTGGAGACTTGGCCCAGGGGTGAGCCTCTCACAGAGCTACCTGCAGTGGCACAGCTGTTCTTCTGCTTGGAGTTCTGTCGGGACTCTTTCATCCATGGGAAGATCTGCTTACTGATGGTAGTTGAAGAGCCAGAAGCATTGGGCCCACCCTTGGCCTTCTTGACTTGCACTCCACCTCCAGGGTTGGTAGGTGAGGAGGGGGGTAGGGTAGGTGGTGGAGGAGGGGGCTGTGGCGGCTGCTGCTCTGAGTTCAGCCCAGGAGGCTGGCTGCCACCACCTCCACCTTGGCTGTTCCCAGTGCCAGGTCTCATGCAGCTTCCATTGAGTTCAGCCCCTTTGTGGGGTGGGGCTCGAAGAGGTGCAGAGCTCTGGATGGAGCAGGCAGAACCTGGGTAATCAGTGTCCAGGGAGTTGGCAGCAGCAGGGGGTGGGTAAGGCTGATGGGGGTTGCTGTAGCCATAAGTGTCAGTGGCTTTGCTATAGCCATAGCCTCCAAAGAGTCCTGGGTTGTCATAGTAAGCGGCCTTCTGCATCGTGAACTCAGGAAGCTCTGGGGCCTGTTGACCCTGCTCAAATAACATTGACCACCACTGTCTCCTTCACCACCACATTCAATGTCTCCAGAATCCTGAGAGAGCTGAGGCAGCCCCCAGCTCCAGGTGACCTGAGGAGAAGAAAAATGAGAGGCCCGGGAGGGACTGTCAGAGGCACTACCAGTCATTGTAGGACTCACCAAGAGATTGCTTCACACCCAACTGGAGGGATCTGGGTTTGTATGAACTTATTAGAAAAGTCAAAGGGAATTTACATAGACATAAGACAATTTCTTCTCTTTAGCTCTACTCCACCCACAGAAGGGACTTATACCCCACCTCCCCGCCTACAATAAACTTTTTTCTCCAAGACTGTCAATTTGGTTTTTAAAACTTTGTGAAAAAACACTCAGGGCCTCATTTAATGGCTCTCTAGACTTTGAGCTCGTTACAGGCAGAAACTTGTCTTTTTCTTCCATATGTGCCTAATATCCAGCCCAGTGCCCTGCAAGTAGTGAGTATAATCAGTGCCTGTTGAATAAGTGAATGAATATGTGAGTAGATCAACCAGTTAATCACTGGATCATTCCAGAATTTTCATGAACAGAAGAAAGCTCTATAATACACTTAGAGTGGCCAGAGCACTAAAATAAAAAATAATTGTCTTCCCTACCTGGTTTCAAAATCACAGCATCTTTCATGGAGACCCAGATAGTCCACTTCCTGTGACAGGTAAGAATCAGCCCAGTTAGCTTTGTGGATCAGCACTGTGGACTCTATTAAAAGATGAAAACCAAGAAGAGGACTTAAAGATTCCCAGACTTATTTTAAGGCTAGAAAATGGTATTATTCATCTATATTTTTCCAGACTCTTTGATAAACTTTGTGTCCACTACTTTTAAATGGATACCAGTGGGACATGCAGGGACATGAATGAGTGGAGAATGCTTTATGTTATAACTTTATCATTTTATCCTGCATTTATTATCTAAGTAGATATTATTGACCTCTGGATCATCCCTCCCACCCCACCTCCCACCCAACCCACAACCAATTAGAGAACTTCTCATGGCATGATGAATGGACCCAGAATTAGAAGAAGAAAAACACTAAGAAAAAAATCAAATCAACCCCTTTTGTAGTCCCTGACTCCTGATGGGGGTTTCCCTCCTATAACCCAACCTCTTCTCCTGAAAGGCTCCTGAGGAGTTAAAATATAACTAAGGTATTCAACCACTTTTGTTTGCTTGATAAAGAAATCCCATAGGTCAGCTCCCTATGCTTAATTCTTGGTTTCTCTTTTTTTTCCAGGCAACTTTCCTTCTCCTCCCCCCCCAACTCCCATCATGGTCATCATGATGGACCCCATTATCTAGATAATGTATGTGACTAAAAGGTGGGCCCTAGTACCAAAACCACTTTTCTGATCACTCATTTCCCCTCCTCTGTCAACAAAAAGCTTAACCCAAAGAAATTTTTTTTAATTATTCACATTAGTCTTTGTTTAGTAACATGATTGCCCATTTTGTTTTAAAGTACAAGTGGAATACTTTCTTGATAAGAGATAGGCACTTCTCAAAGGGGTCATAAATGAATGCTAGGATGTTATGTTCTAGAAAATATTTTTAATATTGTTCCTAAATATATACAGTTAGGATATCTACTTAGCAATGCTGATTTAATTGCTTTCAATTTATAGATTTTATATATCATTCTCTGCCTCATCCTGTGACTGATAGTTATGTGTTTGCCCCTAAGTCAAAGGACTAGGTACTTTGAGTTTAATTAAGTTGCTAGACTTTTCTGGGATCCTGCTTCCAGTCTTAAGCCCTGGGCTTGCTGCATGTCAGAATGGCCATATTTGACACTCAGACCACCAAAACTGCTGCTTCTGTCATTCTATTTACAACTGTGGAAGCAAAACAACCTACTTTTGCCTGCCAGGTTGACCAAGTTTATCTTGATATGATACACAGGCCAGTCACATTAAGATAGCTTCTTTAGGAGCTGACCAGGTATTTGAAATAGATGGCTCTACACATATTTGTTCCTATAGCACATTCCTTTTTTAAAAGCTCTGTATACCGGCCTCAGAAGTGCAACTACTGGCCAGTTTCATGAGTAGTCACACAGTCTTTTCTCCTGCCTGTTTTCATTGTCTTCAGGAATTTCAAGGCCTACTCAGTGGTGACCCAACACCCCAATGCCCACTTCCTCAGAAGGAGGGAAGCTTTGCAGCACCCACTCTAGAAATACAGTTACCCAAAGAAGCTACCTTTTCTAAAACAGAACCTGGAAATGTCACAAAATTCGTTGTTTTTTTTTTTTTTTAAGCCTTTTTCTTTCCAGAAACCCCGACTCCTTGTGAACTCTGCTTGAACTTAAAAAGCAGGAATGGGTCATAAATCACTTGGACAATGGTCAACTGTTCAGTGGCTCATCTTTTTGATCACCCCCCCTCCTTTTTTTTTTTTTTTTTTTTTTTTTTTTTTTTTTAAGGCTTTCTTTTCTCACCCTTTGCTACTTCTGCTCCTTTGGGCTCTGGGACCCAAATGCCTCAGGGTGAAGACCAGCCCTTGTAGGGGGAGGGGCGGTCTTCGAAATCCTTCTACAGCTCTATCATCTCACATCTTCTACCCTATCTCCCAGCCCGCGAACCCACCGAAGCAGTCACCCCAAAACCCCGATGGCGCCATCCCAGGCCCCTCCTGAAGTAGGAGCGCCAAATGGGATCTGGCTAGCCTTTCTCGCGATCGTAGGAAGTTGCCTAATTCAACTGGGATATCCAACAGCAGATGGAGAATACAGGGCCAAACGGTCCCCAGTCGGAAGGAAGGCGGCCTCCAAGCAGCCACCCGCCGGTCCCAGGGCCGCGCCGTCCGCTGCACCCGCCGCGCCTCCGGAACAGCCTAGCACTGATACTTGCTCACTGCACTTAATTCTGCGCGGGATCAATACCTAATATGATACCGAATAAATAAAAGGCGCTCACAGCGGCCAGGGGACGGGGTTATTAAGCAGCTGGAGCTCTCACGGTGCATATCAATGCACCTGTCATTGTGGTTTGTAACAAAATTTATGACTGCGAGCACTGCGGCAGTAAACGCTTCAGTAAGGAATGAAAAGAAAAACACTTCCCAAGGCCCGGCACTTTTCAGAAGTGGAAAACAGGCTCCGCGTAGGAGGAAGCGCGGCAAAAGAATTCCCTACTCCGCACTTTTCCCGGCCCCGCGCCCTGCGAGCAGGGGGATTATATAAAGTGGTCCGTGCAGTTCTGGGAGCTGCTCGACTCAGCAGCGGGACCAGGGACTGGATGCTCACAGCCTCTCCGGGGACCGAAGCTCTGCTGTCCGCCGAGGCCTCGGGACGCCGGGAAGCTCGCCGAACGCGCGGAGGCCGACAGGGCTCTCACTCGCCCGCTGAGGTCCGGGAATTTCCGAGGGGCTCGGGGAGGGAGCCAACAGTTGCCAATGACTAGCGCCATAATCCTAGTAAATCGCGAAAGGTCAGGCAGACGCCCGTGCAAATTGAAAGAGAAGGGGGAGGTGATGGGGTTCTAATCGCTTCTGTTACTCTACATTTTTCTCTTAGGGTTCCAGTTGGCTTCCGGTCCTCTCCCGGGCCTCGGAAGCCCACAGATCTCCTGGCAGACGCGACTCTGGCTGAAGTGGGTCCACTGAAATTGAACCAAGACTCTTCCCTACCTCTTGGTTTCAAAACTACTCCGTTTCGGATTTGCTCGGGAGGGGATACATTTACTGCAGAGATGGGGCAGCCTTCTACCTAAGTTCTCCAGCTCTCTCAGCCTGAACCTCTTCTGCCCTATAGGAAGCCCCTGACATGCCTTCTAAATCACTCTTATTTAGCCTAGATAACTCAATACATAATACACCCTGCATTTAAAGCACTGGGCTCACCCCATTAAAGCGCCATAAATTTGAAGGCTGATGATCGGTTATCATGTAACCCGCCACAGTTCACACTGAGGTGATCCACTTCAAAGCCGCCCTTTGTTTTACGTCTTGATGTATGAATCCTGAGATGGCTACCTTGAGTTGCAGGATAGATGGAAATGTAGTGGAAATTATTATTGTTTGTTTGTTTGTTTTTTAAATCACTCCACTCACCACAATTGTGTGTGTGTGTGTTTTCTCGAATTTTGTCTCTAACTTTTTTGGTAGGCTCCTCGGGTTCCTTTGGATATTCTGTTGAGGCGAATCTGGAACAAGATGGAAACTCTCAGTGGCAGTCGCTTCTTTCTTACAAACATGGAGAGGCTTTACTCCTTTTAAGAGTGTCATACTCAATGTGACTATTGTATGTGGTACCCACTGCCATTCCACAAGCCTTCTCCCTGGCAAAAAGAAGACTGGATTTGCTCTGGGGAAGGGGCTGAGTGGTCTTTAACACCAACATCCTTAGCTGGCTGAGGGAAGAGGAGGCCAGAGAAGGAAAGGTTGGATCCTCAAGCCAAGGGACTGGCCAAGTGGGTCAGAGGCTGGAAGAAGACCAATGACTCTCCTTCTCCAACAATGCTTTAAATGATCCAGGTGCCCCAATACCAGAGGCCAAGCATAGACCCTAGGAGTGGAGGAGAGGGACTGAATAGTACTGGAATGGGGAGGAGGCTACCACAGGGCATGGGAAAAGGAAGGTGAGTATGTAGATAGACCTGGGTGGGCCCTACTAGGAGGCTGGCCACAGAGTCTCAGAGAAGAGGAAGCTGGACTCTACTTCCTGGTTTGTATGTTATATGTCCTTTGGTTTCCCCTGAGTTTATTCCATTCCAGTAAATACCCAACACATTTCTAGCTGGGACTGCCCCTGCCTCCGTGAGGATCTGACTACAAATCGCCTAAGAAACAAATATTCCACTCCTACCCCAAACCAGACCAAGCTGCCCACTACTGCCTGCACTCAGCGGGTGCCTGCCCCCGGTCAGGTGAAAGCAGAGACACAAACCCCCTCTTGCATCTGCCCTGTGCAATTTGTCGACTCAGTAGTTTGCAAACACTAAACCGCGCCAGGGAAAGCCCCACACAAAGCGTTCCGGGCCCTTCTAAAGACTAGAGCGCGCAGCTATAAGCCTTTGAAGTGACCTTTGGCTCACGCAGCAATAACTCACCCCTTAATGAACACCCAACAGAAGCGCCTCGGAGAGATTCCGGCCCGGTAGTGCTTCTACCATGGCTCCCGGGCTTCAGCTTAGCAGCCAGCCAGGACCCAAAAGGGCCCATCCAATGGGCGGGTCCCGAGGGCTGCGCGGTGGAGGCGCCAAATAGCTCGGCCCTCAGAAGGGACCCAGCAGCCCCAAAGCCTCTTTATATGATACATTCACGTGGGCGGACGTCAACTGTTGCCGCTTGATTATTTTACTTATTTATTTATTTTTTTAAAAAAAGATTCTTTAGAAATAGGAGCAGAAGCAGGCCTAAGTTCAGAGAGCCACCCAGAACCTCGATCCCCCAACGCCAGTAGGTAGATTTTGTTTTCTCAACCTCGGAGGAACAGGGTAAGTTTGTGCCTGGGGGTGCGTGTGCGCTCCGGGTTCTGAGCACTAGAGGCTTCGGGAGGTGAAAGGAAAGAGGACCCCCCAAGGCCAAATTTGACTGTCTGAGAGCCCCCAAAATCTCGCAGGCTCCCTCTCCCACCCACCCATCGTGCAAGCTACCAGCCCTGCTTCCACCTCATACTTGCTGGGAATGGTAGGCTTAAGCCGGCTGGCTCTGAGCCACTAGCTCCTGGTCCCTTTTCGCAGCCAGAAACCGGGGTAGAGAAGAGAACCCCGTCTTGGAGGTGTCAATGAAGAGCTGGTCCCAGGCAGGCCTGGCCCGATACCCCACCCCCCACCAGGACCCAGGGAAAAGTCTTTAGGGTAGGAAGCCTTGGTGCGGATTATTGAAATTTTCGGGGAAGTTATAAGTGAGTGCTCCATAGGGCCAAATGAAATGCTGCTCGCAGTAATTGGATTCAGCTGACTAAGTTGGCAGGCTCGCAGCTCCAAGGCAGCAAGTGAAGAAAAATGTCCAGTGACTTTAAGTTCTGATGGAGCTACGCAAGATTGACAAAACAACTGTACTGCTCTCCTTTAATGATGAGGTTCCTGAAAGTGGGTCTCTCACCTACTGGGGCCCTACCCAACCTACTCTAAGGGCTGTTCCTTGCTTTCCGGTCCCTTCCACACAGAGGCCCTGTCTGGCCCGACCCAGTGGTGTTCCAGTGAGCGTGGAGCCGCTCACTCAGACTTATGAAGTCGCTTACTCCGCAGGCTTTGGCCCGGGGAAGGACCGGGCTTGAGTTTTCCAGTTCTCCTCCAACTAGGAACCACAGGACACAGTAAACAAAAGGATGGACGGGATGGGAAGGACAAAATATGATTTAGCTTCCATTCTGGGGTTATTTGGGGAGGAAGACCCAAAGCCCTAAACCTTCCCCCCAACCCCCAGGCCACTGTTGTCATAAAAACCCCAAATTAGTGATTGGACTGTGGTAGAGCTTCCCAAACTCTTCTGGGTAGCTGGGGGATTCACTTGAATTTGAAGAGAGAGCTCCAGTAGCATTTTAATCTTCCAGGAAAAAAAGATTAAGCCAACATCAAGAGATAAAGGCATGCGTAATTGGAGAGAGCTCCCAGAACAATGCAGGGAGCTGGCTGGCCACTGAGTTTATTTTAAATACATATAAATCAACCTGCCTGCGCTCAGCCCCGAAGCTCAAGACACAGAATTAATATGATGTTCCATCTTACTTTGGCAGTGACAGTGTAAAAAAAGTTTCTTTTTATTCATTTCATTTTCAATCCATTTCCATAATTGTACATTCAACCCCCGAATACTTCCTCCAGCCCCCAACCCTCTCTTCGGACCCTCTCCTCAAACTGCTGTCCCCCACCTCCACCACCACCCAAGGCCACCGGCCACCCTCCAAGCCTGGCGAGATAGTGTGTCCTCCTAACCTTTGGGTAGGCGGGGAGCATCCCCACAAAACGCACCTCCGTTACGATTAATCACCGTCCTCGATGTATATGTAGAAGTGTATCTAGGTCTGTGCGGGCTGCCTCACCAATTGGCAATAATCAAGATCACAGATTACACAAAATAAATCATATTTAGTATCCCGCTCGGGGCAGCAAGCAGCCCGGTGCCCAAAGATTTCCATTTTGTCATGCAATTGCTTACCTGGATCCCAATTTATCATAAACCTGGTGTCCTCGGCCTCAGAGTGGGCGCCAGTGGGGGGCAGAGCTAGCCTTCCCCCTTTGTCTGCAGACAACACTGTCCCAACCCTGGTCTTGCGCGCTCGCAGACGCGGCCATATACCCGAGCACACGGAATTCCCGGTAGAACGGAACCAGGCTGAGGTTCAACTACCAATAAACGCAGGAAGAACGAGTTCGTAGTCCCCGAGCTGGCTTCGCCTGCGCTGCGCGCCTGTCGGTCCACCCGCCCGCCTGTCGGCTCCCAGGCCCAGAGCGGCGGCCACCCGCGCCCCCACCCACTCTTGGGTTCCTGCCCAGCCCTCCTTGGCCCCCCAAGGCTCGGGGTTTGTTTTGCTTTCGGAATGTGGCCCAGAAAGGATTTGGAGAGAGCCCCGGAAACCCCCTCATAGTCGGGAAATACAGACGCTGCCTTCAAATGCTAGCATATTTGTTCACGTGACCCCTAGGGAAGATTGTACTGATTGAGGCTGAAACTTTCACGCCAAACAGCCCCGGAGCGCAGCCAGGCCTGGGGGCTGGGAGGAGGGGCAGGAAGGTGTCGGACCCCCAGCTCCTTCCTCGCAGCAGACACGGGTGGGTGTAGGGCAAAAGAAAAGCCCCCATCTCCAAGCTCCGGATCAACACAGCCTCAACCAAGCTGGTGCAATGGGGGGGGGGGTCCCTGAAAGTCTCTCCACTTCACCCCATCCCACCCTCAACCCCACGACCTCTGACCCTGACCCAGCCAGCCAGTGGACTGGTCTGGAGATTGTAAATATTAGAGGCCACCTCTTTTAGAGGCATCTCCCCAGGCGGCTGTGAGGTAGCAGAGGAGGCTCAGGGTTCCCTTAGCTCTCTGGCTGCTTGGGGTACCCCCGCATCAGCACCGTGAGGCGCCGCCTAGGAGAATTCGCTGATATTCCGCTCATGGGCATGGGATTGCGTTTATAGTAGAGCAGGTTTCAGCCCTCAGGTGGGAGACTCCAACTCATATCCCAGGATAGTCGTACGAACGGAACCCTACCACCACCTCTGCGACCGCCACCGTCGCCGCCGCCGCCGCCGCCGCCGCCATCACCGCTTGGTCCATGACTCCTTCCGGGGACATAGACGAGCTGCCAGTTCCATAGCCAGAAAAGGCGCCTAAGCGGCCGGCCGGACAGATCCTAGAGGTCTCCCCTCCCTGCATCTTGCACACTCCACCTGGATCCTGCGCGGCATGGAGCCACCTATGCACGAGCCCCGGCTGGAACCTGTGCGCCTCGGTTTTTCTGGGCAGGGCTGGAGGATTCCGCAGGCCCAGGGGCAGCGAAGCCACCGCTTCCCGCTTCCTACGGTGCCCTCAAGAAAGCGAGGGGGGAGGGAGAGGTGCGGGTTCAGCCTTGGCTAACTTATTTGGGGGATTGAGGGAGTTTGTTTTTAAAAAAATATTAAATCAGGACAGGGTTCCAGCACTCTCCGAGTGATGAAAGGAATTTTGGGAAACAATTCTGCAGATGGAAAGAATAAGCTCCTGCCTTGGGTCAGTGGCTGCTACCAGCTCTTGGGCTTTTGATGAGCCCACAGGGTCCTCCCCACCTCCTGCACCCCAAAATCTCACACCCATGTTGAGGTCTCCACCCCATTTCCAAAGTCTTGCTCTCATGACCCCTCTGCTTTTCAGAGGCATCCCATCCCGCACAGAGCAGATGCCCTGTCACAGCTTGCAAGGTCTGGGAAAGGTGAAGGCGAATGGGTCAGGCAACTGCAGTAAGGCCTGGGAGAAAGGGGTAAAGTCCTCCCATCTTCACTCCAGAGGCACAGAAAAGTCCCAGAGGGCAGGTCCTGTGCTCAAGACCCCAGACCTGTCAACAAGCCCCTCCTTTTGTTCACCTGAAGGGGTCTGGCTGGAGGCCCAACTTGGGAACCTCTTGGAGCCAGACTGTGGGTACCCCCAATGCACCCCCATCCCAAGGACCCCGCCCCCAGACTCCTGCCAGGAACCAAGCAGCCAGCCCACAGCAAGTGTTAATCTCCAGTCAAAGAGGGGGGCTGCTTTGCGGGAATTTGTCTCCAGGAAAGGATCTAAGCCTTCTTCAATCGGAGCATATGTTCATAGAGCAATAAACCGGAAAGATTTACAGTCCTCGCCCGGCCCCCAACAGCCTCGCACCCTTTCAGGAATTACTTACGATGATTTATCACACCAACTCGGGCAATTGTCACACTGATAAAATAGCCCGGGCCGGTGCCCGCCAAGCCCGGGCCTTGGGAGGCTGTTGGCTGTGGGACTATCAGTGGCGCTGGAGAGGCTTTTTGTGGGTTCTTTCGTGTGCCTATCAGGGGATTATTGGGGGGCCTAGGATAGGTGGAGTTGGGGTGGGAGGAGAGCCAATTCTCATTGAGAAAAATGCAAGCTGCTTAGAAAAAGCCCCGAAATCAGCGTTGGAGTCACTTGCAAAGCACATAAACATTTGTCATCTTTGAATAATTGAATTAATGTGTTATTGTTTGAATGTATAATTCATAACGGAGGAAACTTTGTCTCTGTCCTGACGCAGAAATATACACACACCAAAAAAGAAATCAAAACACACACACACAGTCCCCAAACAATCATCACACACATTCAGCCCAGCTCCCCGAAATCATCCTCAAAGCCAACAAGAGGAAAGCAAGAAAATCAACTCCCGCGTCGCATCTGGCGGGAGTTGCAAGCTAGACCAGACCGCTGCCGCCCCCCAGCCCTGAGGTGGAGTGTGGTGGGAGCCGAGTGACTCTTGCACAACGAATCTCCTTGGGGTTGGGGAGAGGGGAAAAGGTTGAATTGGGAGAGCGCTGGAGCGATAGCCTTCCCGGCTTGCCCTGGCCTTTCCCTCAGATCCCTTCCCCAGGCGTTTCCAGGCTCCGGGTCTCCCGCTCTGCGGCAGGGAGTTTTATTTGAGATCTTCCTCCGAAAATAAAAATACAAAAATAATAGGAAAGAAAGGAAAGTCCAAGCAGAGCTTGAGTGGGGAGGGAGGGGATTGGGAGAAGCAACTCGGAAATAATTATCTGTTGGTTAAAACCTGCCTGGGGTAAAATTTCAACTCGATTTTATAGCCTTCTATTATGACGCAAAGAAAAATTTACGACCCTTGCATGAAAAGAGGGCCAGGGCCTTTTCTCACCGGTTTAAGAATAGGCGGCAGATGCCGTGACAGCGACCATTGTTCCCGGTAGACACAGGCGACCGGGCAACCTCAGCCCGCGTGCGCCAGGCGCGTCCCCCAGCCGGGCGGGATTTTTACAACTCCTGTTGTCTCCAAGAAGCCCGGGCGCACCCTCGCCCCTCGAACCCTTGCCCCTCACCTCTCTCTCTCTCTCTCACAGCACACACACACACACCCGCGCGCGCGCGCGCGCGCACATACACACACACACACACACACACACACACACACACACTCGACCGCTCTCGGTAATTTTTCATAAGTGCAAAGCTTTGCTGAACCAAAGGTCACCCTCCAAGCCACTAACAACTTCTCGCCGGCGCGCGGTTCCAAATCAGGAAGCAAAGAGAACTATTTGTCAGCAGCCCTGACAGCTAAGTTCATTAAGGATTTAAATCTGAAGAAATAAAAGTCTCCAAAATATTTACCTGCCGCCTGCGCTCCCGCGCCCGCCGCCGCGGGGTTGGGATGGAGGGTTGGGGGCGCCGCGCGGCCCCCCTCGGCGGGTGATATTCTTGGGATCCCTGCACTTTCCAAGTCGGAGAGAGCCCTTTGCGTGGCAGATTAATGACGACTCCGTGTTTCTTAAGGGACGTGCTGAATTAATTATTTCGCCAATCACGTGGTCGGGACTTGTAGAAATCTATTCTTATCATCTTCCTCGCACTTTGAAAATTCTCCGGGTTATGAAAGGCCCTCCCCCGGCAGCCGGCGAGCCCCGGCCGCCCAGCCCAGCGCGGGGGGCAGGGAGGGCTCCCCAACATGGCGGGCAGGCAGGCGGGAAGCGCCGTCTGCCGAGGGTCGGGATTTACTGTACTGTACTCAAGCGGGCTCGGCTATGGACTCGCTTCCTCCTCATCCCTGCCGGTGATTCAATACACACAACGGTATTGATGTATTGGTGGGCACAGGAGGAGCCATTAACCAAAAGACGGGCAGAGGACAATCATAAAATGTGTCTGAATATTTAAACTTCTGTCTGCGCACTTATAAATACACATGTCCACGCGTCTGAGGCGAGCCCTTCCATATATTAAGGACACATGTCTGGTTATATGCATTCTGCTCATTTCCTGTCTCTAGCAAGCACCCCTCCAGCCCCATCTATTTTGGGACTCCTGTCTTGGCCCCCTTTTCAAGGCGAGGCCAAGACTTGAAAATGCCCTCGTGATAAAAATAGCACAGGCTACTTTTTATAGAGGGGAGTGTTTATTGTGGGCTGGAGGGCAGGGTGGAGGGGGCGCTGGAGAGAGGAGGGGCAGGTGCTGGTGGCCCCAGTGGGACAGAGCAGCACCAGAAAGTAAAAGCCTGAGTTTGCAGACCAGAGGGGTCATGTAGAAGCAGCCAATGACCAGACTTGACCCAGAAACAAGCACCACTATTCCAGAGTTGGAGGGTGGGAAGGCCTCTCACCCATGGCACCACAAAGGCTGGAGCGGTCTGGTGCTGGCAGGGGCACCCAGAGAACCAACCTGGAGCCTCTTTTTAGCCTGGGGTGTTACTTATTTTCCTTTCAAAAACAATGCCCAACAGCCCTGTATCCTGAATTCAACTCCAGGCTTCCCAATGCTCAGAAAATATGGTGGCCAAATTGGGCGTGTGTATGTATAGGGAGGGGCAATGACAGAATTTTGCTATGCCTTACACAGTGTAACCTTTACACAACAGGCACATTGAGGAAAAGAAAACACATGATTCATATTGAATGTTTTTAGAAAACTTAGTAAAGAATACTTCTGTAGAGGCACCAAACAGGAGGGAGATTTCGCTACACCTTTTATTATTTCAAATATAGATCAATGAATTACATCAAAACTACAAGCAACAATTAGTATAAATAATACTTTAATCAGTGGCAGTAGAACATCAGTCAATTCTATTTCAAAAAGCATCTTGTGAGAACAGACACCATGGGGCTGACTGACAATATCATCTCCCAACAAAAGGCTGCAGTGGACAGAGTGAGGTGGGAGGCTAAGGAGCCTCATACCCAGCAAACACTTAACTCTCTCCCACCCCCCAGTCACAACCCCAACACAGCTTAAAAAAAAAAAAGACACCAAAACACTTCTGGCTCATATTTGGGGGAATTGGAAACAAAAGCAAATGGACGCTGAACCATTCTATATTTAGCTTTCTCCAGAGCACGTTCCCAGATGGAAACTCATTTCCTCCCCAGCACTAGGTGGTTAGGCGCTCTGCTTCTTCCCTGCCCCACTGCTGTGGGCCCAAATGGACTCTAGGGTCCGGCTGGGACCTCTGGGTAGAAGACAGCCCTGAGGGCCAAGCAGGCTTCATTAACATTTCAAAAGACAATCCCTGGAAGCTGGGAAGAAGAGCCCAGACTTATAAACAAAGAAGTTGTTTCTCCCATTAAGTTACTCTCCAAAGTAGTAGGACTAAGTTTGAGAAGGAGTTGGGTTTTCACCTAGAAAACATGTCCCTCCGCTTTCCTGTGGGGCAGGGAAGTAGATTTGGCATTTGGTCTGAAGCTGGGTGAGTAACCTGAACTTCTCAGAAGAAGGGAATTCTCTGTAATAATCTACGATATACATGCTATTGGATGTTGTGAACAAATACTTCCCCCCCCCCCTCCCAAGGAGAGGGTTCAGTTGTATTCACAGATCTGGGTTTTAGGAAAGATTCTTAGCAACTTTCCAACTTGCCTAAGGATAGCGGCTCTTTTCAACTGCTGTGTCCAAAGACTGCCCTGCACGTTAGAGGAAAAAAAGAAGAGAAGGGTAGTCAGAGTCCAAAAGGTTAAGGGTTTAGAGGTCAGTCCTCCCGGCTGAAATACAGCTAATCGAATAGAAAATTTGTCCTCTGGATGAACCTGATTCTGTAATTTAGCCGAACTTCAGTAAAATACCTTTTCAGCTTCTCAACGTGAGGGCGTCAGAAAAAAGACGTCTTGACTATGTATGAACTCTGTGCTTTTTGTCATAGAAACAATGATGCGAATAATGCAGGAATATCCATCTTTAATATCCCGACGTGGAGATATTCAAGTATTGCCATGTGCAAGTCTGAGAGCCAGGCTCACCCCAAGGAGGAACAAAGAGCTGTCCCCAGGGTCTAATACAAAAGACTAAGGCATGGAAGATACTTTAGAGAAGTGGAATTTCAGCCTAGGGACTCCAGTGAATGAATACCTGCCCTTAGCTCTCAGGAGACACTGAGCCAAAGAACATGCCTACAGAGAAAGTACCCCACCTCATATATACATACTTAAATATATTTTTTAAACTACTGCTGAAAACTTCTTAAGTGTTCTGGAGCACTAAAAAAATAACCCAAATTCTCCATCTCCCTTTTAAGTTCACCCCTTCTCCCTCCCTCCTTTTGTCACGTCAGTAGCTACAACCAGGGTTCCTCTTTGGAACTAGAGGCATTGGGGTTTAAACCTTGGGAAGCCTTCTTTCATTTGAGTATATGAACTCTAGCCATTACCTCTGACTCTTCCCCTTATCCTTAAGGGTCAGCATTCTAGAAAAATGAGCTCTGAACCTTTCTGAGAAAGGCATAAGAAAAATGACTTAAGGATCTCTCTCTTGTTGTTTGAGAGTCATTGTTTTTAAACCACTATTCTCGAGGCAGGCACATGGATGGGCCTGAAAACTTTTATAGTTTTACAGTTTATGCCTCTAACTAATTGGGTGAGAAAGCTCTAAGATTTATTTGAAAAATAAGAAACAAACACCCAGAGAGAAAATCCTAAAACAAACTTTTGTGGACTTCTACATTCAGCGAGTTTTTTCCTCTTTTTTTGAAAGTAGGACTTCTTCACCTTCCACTGCAGTCCCCTCTCACACATAGGCCATACACCAATTTCTATAAAACACTGCTATACATGGGGTATTGGGGCATTTGGAATCCAGTTGGAACAGAAAATTCAGTCATTATCTAATGACCCAGAACATAGAGGTTTTGTTTTCTTTCCCCAGAAGGAAAATGTTGGACCATTTGTTTCTTTCTTTTTCCCCCCTCTCCTTTAATCACCCAGAACTGGTTGTAAGCACAGTGCTGAAAAAAGCACATGTGGAAATACATTTTCAAGAACTCAAATTTGAGTGGACCCTTTGCTTTCCTCTAGAAGGGTTAAGGGTCCCCTACACCCATTTCCGGGGAGAAGGGAGGGGGTGGAGTTCAAACTGCAAGTTACACCAGAAGTAAGTCACATCATCAGATTCAGCTCCCTGAGAAGCAATCCCTTTCACCATCTTGAGATTTTTGCATTTAGATGTCAGTTATTTCTATACCTCATTCCCCACAAATAAATATTTAAGCAAATATAATCTAAATATAAAACAACCCTTTTCCACTTCCTTCTCAGACTTATTTATTTGGACATGGGGCCGCTGGGAGAGAAAAAAAAATTTTTTTTTTCACACTGCAATCTATATAGACAACCCAGAAAGTTCAGAAGCCCTGGCCCAGCAATCTTGCTTCTACTGCAAGCACCTAGCACAGGTGCCATGGTTCTGCCTCAATTCCACCCCTCCCCCCCCCAAGATCCCTGGAGGGATAGAGTGGGCTGAATGTTCAAATTTACAAGGGTAAAGCATCCAACCTTCATTTGCAAATTCAAAATCCAACAGAGGAGATTTTCAGGAGTTTAATGACTCTCCAAGGTTTTATGTTCTCAGTAGCTCCTGCCATTTGATAATATACTTAGAGAGAGAATCCCACCCCCCTCCCACCCCCATCCCTGGTCCAGGGAGGGGGCTGCCCTCGGGCAGGATGCTAACCTAGTCCGAGGGCGGCCTGCGTGTCCCAGGTCCACCCCACAGTACCTTAGAGCCCAGCGAGGTGACAGCAGGCCCGGCCTGCACCCGCAGCTTCGGCTCAGCCGGGAGCACAGGGAGGGATGGGCCCAGGGTCCCCACTTCTATAAGGTCGTCAGGTCCGTGTGGTGGTCCTTGACCAGAGGCTGCAAATGCTGGCCAGGGGCAGCTGAGGAGGAGCAGGAGGAAGACGATGACGATGTAGAAGAAGAGGAGGACCTGCCTTTGGTGTTGGGCAACTTATGGTCTTTTTTCCACTTCATCCTCCGGTTCTGGAACCAGATCTTGATCTGGCGCTCTGACAGACACAGGGTGTGAGCAATTTCAATCCGACGGCGCCTGGTCAGATACCTGTTAAAATGAAATTCCTTTTCCAGTTCTAGGACTTGCTGCCGGGTGTAGGCTGTCCGGGAACGCTTGGGCTCCCCGCCGGTATAGTTGGGGTTTACTGCAGAGACAAAACAGCAGAGTCAGGTCAGCACTAGGCCAGCAGTTAGGACCCTGCCACCAGCGCTCACTTCCTGGCGCGCCCAGAGGCCCAGCGCCCTCCCCGCGCTCCGGAGCCTGCTCTCTCCCTCGCTCCCGCCCTCTCTCCTAGGCGCACACACGCTCGCTCCCACCCACCCAGCCACCGCAAACCCACCTACTTCCCCAGGCTCGCAGGCTGGGATCCCCAAATGTGTTCCCATCTCCCTACTCCTCCGCTTTGAACTCCAGAATTCCCAAGTATTTTGGAAATCCCTTTCTCCCACAACGTGTTCCTTCCACTCTGAAAATGGAGTCCTCCCCCACCCCTCCCCACCCCCATCTCCACCCCCTTTTTTGCCCACAGCGGAGCAGTCAGCCACATGGTCCCGGCCTGCTCCCTCAACTATAAAAATTTATGAAGAGAGTAACTGCGGCGCCCGTTGAAGCCCCACTGGCCCCCACCCTCTTGCACCGCTCCCGGATTCCAGGCCTTGAGTGAGGATGGGGCTGAAAGGTCGCTGGGCCCACGCCTTACCAGAATTCACATGCACCTTCTTCATCCATGGGTAGACCACGGCGGGCTGCTTGAGTGCTGTCCCGGGGGCCGGTGGCTTGGGGCCGCCTGGTTGGCTGCAGGCCCGGGCACCCGGCAGGGGTGCGGGCGGGGGCGCTGAAGGCGCTGGGCAGGGCTCTCTCTGGGCGCCGTAGTGGCCACCAGGGCCGCTGGGTTCTTGCCCGTGACCCCGCGTAGGCAGCGCCGAGCCGGGCCCCGGGCCGCCTCCGAAGGGCTGCTCACCGAAGTCGGGCCGTGGGTAGAGCCCCGAGGGCTGGAAGTCGGCACCCTGCGCACCGCCACCGTAGAAGTCGGCGCCCTGCTCGCCTAGGTAGCCACCCTGCAAATATTCCTCGCACGGAGGGAACTTGGGGTCCACATACTTGGAGTTCACCATATACGAACTCATGGCCATTAATTTCAGAAGGTAGAAAATACTAATTTTTCTCGTGTTGTCTTTTTTTCTCCTTCCATAGGGCCCTCCTACTTGCTGTCAACTGAATAAAGTTGGTTGGCCACGTGACCAGGCCAGCCAATAGCAATGGAGCGAGTTTATCACCGGGTTGGTGAGCATCTCATAATTTTCACAAATTTAACTAAATAACATACGTGTAATCAAGTGACTCACAGGGGCACATTTGAGGGCCTCCACCAGATGTTAATGCAGGTCTAACCCTCAGTACCCTCACTCCCTGCAGGTAATTCCAGTTTTTGTCTGCCACTGACTTTGCTAACCTTCAGTGCTCTCTCCCCTCAACCCTGCCTGAAAGCAGCTCCCCAAAGCCTTCACAGGTCAAGGGGGGGAGGGTGAGAATCCCCATACCCATTAAGGCATCAAAAGGTGGGTGGGCTGGACAGCCTCTGAGTTGGGCAGAACACCCCAAGCAGGCAGGATTCCAGCTCGCCAGAGGGGGACTCTCCCATACAAAGGCCGAGTCCCGGCTTTGTCTTCATCAGGGTCACCCAAAAGTTACCAGAATCTGACTGGCCTGAACTGAATTAGGCAATGAATAACCTAACTGCCAAGCTTTCTGCCCGTGCCTAGGCCAGGGGTGTTTCTAGTCAAAGGCAGACCTTGCCCATATAGCGAGGAGTCCCCAGTGCTCCATCCAGGAAGGAAAGTGGTGAGAGCATATACTACTTACCCAAATGAGGTCCCCCTTCTTCCTAGCTTGCCTTTTTCCTTCGTGGGCCACAAATGCCAGTGAGCCCCTTCACTGGATATTCTCCAAGTTCTTGGAGGGCAGAGTTGAAATTGGGGCTAGTTGGCTTCCCACCTTTCCCCCTGGCCCCCAAAACCTAGTTTTTCGGCCCTGTATTCATGCAATCAATTCATTTTATTTATTTTTGTTGTTGCAGCAGCACCCACAGGAGACTGTGTTTAGAAGGGAGAGGCTTCTGGAGGAACAGGCTGCTCTATATCACCAGGGTCAGTCGGTCCTCCTGGAGTCCAAGGTAATAAAACAGAAAGAGGCACTGCCGACCAGCGGGTTACCTCTTACCTCCACTTTAGACTGGCTATTTCGGAGAAATGTGAAGTTTTTGCATCGACCATATATTCCCCTAGAATCGAATCTGTGACTATGTGGACACCACACAAATTCGGTTCTACAGGGTATATATAGACAACGTTACAACCTCTGGATTCCACCCAGGCTGGTACTACTTAAACTGCTTCCAGCCCCAGCCTCTTCTGAGGCATCACCGGCCCGAAGCAGCCACCCGCAGTTTCAGAGCCTGTTCAGGTAGGCTGAAGGGCTTGGTGGCAATTTGCAGCAATGAGTTTCCCATCCTTGTACCATAGCAGGGGTTAGAGAGCAGTCAAGCAGCCAGGACAGTGTTCTTCAGAAAGAAAAGGAGAAGTAACCCATTCCAGAAATGGCGGCTTTATTATCCCCCACTCCAGATCTAAATAACCTCCTCCCCCCACCCCCTTATCAAGTGGTATTTTCCAAAAAGGAGCAAATGCCCTCAGTGGCGCAAGAGGCAAGAAGGGATTATCCTCCATCCATTCTTTTCCCCACTGCCCTCCCAAACCAGGTAGGGTGAGGAAGCTAGTTCTCCAAGAAGTCGAGCATTTACCTCCCTGGGCCCTGTGCGGAGCTGGCCTCGCCGTCCCTGTCCACCGCTGCTGTTGCTGCTGCTGCTGCTGCTGCTGCTGCGGCTGCGGCTGCTGCTTCTCCTGCTGCAGACCCAAGGCAAGAGCTGCTCACAGGCACCGAACTGCCCTGGACCCCTTGAACTGGGGTCGGCTTGCTAATGGTGAAGGGCAGGGCGAGGGGTCATTCGAAATCATTTACAAACATATCACAAAGTTTCATTATTTTTGCTTTGCGACAGCAGCACACAAGAGTACAAAAGTTCGCGAATTGAACCCGCCCCAGTGCCTCAGTGCTGTCTGGAGCTCACCATTCCCTTCGTTTGGGAAATCAAGAACACAGTTACATTCAGGATCTGATGGGTTTCAGGAGCACAGGCATGCCTGGCTTGAGTGGGGCTTTTGGATCGCTCCAGAAGTGTTTACATTTTTTGGATTGTTTTGATTTTTTTCCAATTATGATTCAAAAATTAGTTTTAAGCCTCAACCTGGGCCTAGTGGGGTGGAATAGGGAGACTCCCCTCTTTTTCCTCCCCACCCCCAGTCTAGCAAAATTGGCTGCCTGCTTCATCTCTACACACGCACACGCCTCCCACTCCCAAACTACATTTCCCGGGACTTGGCTACTTTATAGGATTTTCCTAGGTGACAATTCTAACAAGAACTCTGAATTTGTCTCATGCCCAGTCCACTTGTCCTAGGAGGGTTCCCCCCAAGTCCTCTAATGCCAAGTACTCCCACTTAACTACCTTCTTCCGGGGACACAGGGCCTAGATTTTATCCAGACAAATTGGGGGAGCCTGCTAGTCTGGGTGGAGACCGGGTAAGGGTACACATTTTCATATTTGTTAGACGCTGTGACCTGCATTTCACCTTATTGCTCGACTTGTTCAGACAGGTCAAAGCCAACGAGTTATTGATGAACAAAAGCGTTAAATATTCACCTCGCCGCTCAACTGCCCATACAAATGCTTTTGATCTCTTGGGGTTCTGTGTGTGTGTGTGTGTGTGTGTGTGTGCTGTGTTCAGCTATATGTGGGTTTGTAAGAGAGGTGCCCTGGAGCAGATGAGCACCCAGAGCCAGTGTGCTGGTAAGAATATGGCAAGACCACAGGAGTCTGAGAACACCAGATTTTCCAGCTTGGAGCTCAGAGTCCGTTTCATTTGAGCCAACATTTTTCATTGAGGGGAACTAGGTACAGATGAGAATCTCTACTTCTTGGGGTGAGCACAGCTCCCAGAGTGAAGACTAGGCTACCCAGGCTGGCCCAGTGCCAAGACCCAGCTTCCCAGCCCCTGGAGAAAGTGGCTTCTCCTCTGAGAGGGAAGAAGTCTTCATTCCGACAGCCCTGGGACACTCCATCTGCCATTGAAATAAGATCATTTTCATTTTGCAGTGAGGGAGCAGCCCCTGTGTTTTCCTTGACTCTTGGACACTGCTATCATCTTAATGAGATAAAGAGGCTTCACAGGTCTACTCTGAAATGTACCTGCCTTCCACAGCACATGGAACACAGATCCCAATTTACACCCCCCCAACCCCCCTTTTTGTCTACAACACCCGAGGTTCCAGCACAGAAATCCCCAAACTGCAGTTACAGAGAGGTGAAGGAGAAGGGCCCGAATCCCTCCGTCTTGCTCAGCCCAGGTCCCCGAACGAATCCTAAACGGGGGGAGGGGTAAGCCGTGATCGGTGAGAGGGACTTCCACCTAAAGCGCAGAATTCCCAGACTTTCTGGAAACGGGCCAACTCAACAGACCCGCAGCCATAGAGGGTTAAGGGCTCCCCTCCCCATTTTTTCCAAAAAAAAGAAAAAGAAAAGAAGAAGAAGAGAGAAGGTTGGATCAGGCTGGACATAGTTAAGGTGGGCTGGGCTGGGCTGCCGAAGGAACTCACCGTTGCCTCAGCGTTTAGCAGGTTGCTTTGAGAAGGGGAGTCCCCCTACAACTTGTGAACAGAGCACAGGGCAGGCTTCTAAATAACTGCAAGCTCTATACCGAGGCCAGCGGCTGCTGCCCTGCTGCCGCAGAACTGCACCTGTGAAAGCTGGTCCCACCCCATGTCCAGGCAGACCCACGCACATCAGGTCGAGATGGGGTGGGGGGCCGTTCCCTTAGGTGAATGAACTAGGCCCCAGAAAAATCTATCCAGGAGCTTAGTTGAAGCTCCCACCTTCAAAGCGATTTCCTCTCACATTTCATGGCCTGGGGAGACAGGGTCATTCTTCCTCCCCGCTCACTCCCTTGGTGAGACCCTGCCCCAACCACTTCCCCAGTCTTCTACATCACGTCTTCCCTTTCGGAAGAAACGGGGCGGTACTTACAGGGACGATCTCTCATGGTCCCGAACCTGTTGCAATGAAAACGTGGGCCATTTAAATTCCACAGGATAATAAAGAAGAGATAGATGATACACAGGAAAATGACAGGGCCCACACATCCCACCAATACCCAGACCTCCCTACTTCGGATGCCCGCCCCGCCCCCAGCAACCGTGAGCCAAGTTCTCCGCGGAGCCGGACCGCAGTACTCAAGGGCAGAACCATTGAGTAGAAATCTATGTCCCCATCACCTCCCCCACCACATGCACCCTTGGGCAAGACCTTACTGGTTGTTTGTCCCGATTCAGGCTGCCTGTAACAGTGTTTCCCCACTGGGAAACAGGGAAGCGAGGAGAAAATGGGCCTTTGTGTATTTCCTTCTGCACAATCTGCTGGTGGGCTCAGGTCCACTGGGGAAGGGACAGCCACGTATCTGCCCCTGCCCCAGCTCCCTGTTCCAGTTTTTAAAGTGGTTTCAAATTCCTCAGCCCCAACTAGTACCCCCAACCTGTCTTCTGCTTTCCAAAGAAAGACCAGGCATGACTGAGACTTGCCTTCCTATTTCTGCTCCCATTCAAAACAAAGAGCAATTTCCAAGGGAAATGAGGACCCAAATGATAACCAAGGGGGAGGAAAATCGATGGGTTAAAAGGTAAATGGCAATCCTCTAGATTGTTATCCAGCTCTATGGATATGACATCATTTTTTTTTTTTCAAGCACTGCTGCTGAGGAACCCACAAAGCAATCTTTCAAAGCAGTGGTCCTCACAAACACGGTGTCCCGCTTAAAGTTTTCCATCTCCTCTAGCTTTCTTTTAGGATGGCAGTCTTCTCTGAGGAATCTCAGAGGCAAAGCCATCTCCACCTAGACTATCCTTGTTTTATTCCACTTCTGAAACAGATAGTTCAGTGATGGGGGAGGAGAGAGACAGCAAGTAACTTTTCTGAGGCAGGAGTCCTCAATTTCTAACTTTCAGAATCGAGAATTTCTAACTTTCTATGTCCAAAATCGACAGAAGAAAACGGCAATTCCCATTCGACTTGTTAAGTTAGGTTTAGGCTAAAATTAGAATTCACTTCGATGAGACTTGTCCCCACCCCAGATGGAAAAGACCCGGCAGAGAAATCCCCCATCGCTGAGGTTGTTACGGAAAAAGTAATGCAACTTACTGGTTTTCTCTCCTAGTGGGTAGGGAAGCTGGGAGTAAAACTGTCTCCTTGTGAGCAGCGCTGGCTGGAGCTTCTCACTTTCCTATGGCTGCTCTAGGAACCAAGCACTGCACTTGTATGCTTTTAACCTAATTTATGGTGGGAATTATATTTTGGCTTGTCAACTCTCAAGCCATAAAACAAAGTTTATTGGAATCACGTGTTCGTAAATAGCCACTCAGGTCCCATCTCTGCAGAACCATAAATAACCTTCGGCTTTAAACTTTTATTCACTAAATAAAGGTTCACTGCAACTGTTCCCTCACATCTAAATAGTTCCAAATATCCCAGAAGCAAGGGGGGCCATATTCATATCAATACCCTGGACTTTTCAAATGACATCTTTTCAGAGAAGGCTGTTTAAGTTGGGAGATAGTACTATTTGGAAAAGGCTGGTTGGTGGGCATGTCTTATGATTCTTTGGCTGCATTCACTGTGAGTACCATCAAATCCTTTATTTCAATATTTTTCTAGCTCTAGATGTAGTAAGTAAACAAAGAGGAAACTTGAAGGTCGCTTCTTATTTGCCTCTACCAGAAGTTGAGATTTTGTTCAAACTTCAGTAGAAAAAGGGTGGTTAGGAAGAGGCTGAGTAGGGGGCTGGGGTGGGGGCTGGGTGGCCGCTGGAGTTAACACTTGGCTCTGTATTGTTGTGAATGGGCTCAGCAAAAGTGGAAGGTAGCCACATGCCTAGAGGTTTCTATAATTTGCTTAGATCTGAAAGGGAAGTCTTTGCAAGTGACCAAACTGCTTAAAATAGCAAGACTTGGGGTTTGGTAAACTGAGAAAGTGGAGAATAGCCCTATCAGAATCTTTGGCAACTGAAGCTCTAAAGAAGGTTATAAAACAATAAAACAGCCATGGTGTGAAGGGGACAGGGTGTGAGGAAGCAAATGAGGCTCTCAAGGGAC